GGTAGATTGGGTCCTAGCACGATATACTAATATTATATACCCTCAGATTGTAATCAGATTCTATGAGGAGAGAATAACTTGGCGCACGAATGAGGAAGAACAAATTGAGGCATAACTACGATCGTAACTGCAACAGCAAGCGAGCCGTATGGCAAGTCAATGCGTGGCGATCGGGCCACCATTGCAATCGCGCTACTATCATATTCTACCGTATGCGCAGCCGCCACCGCGGCGGATGCAGATTCAACCAGCGACGTGGAGGCAGTCTACACGCCCTGCCTACCAAAATAGCACGCCGTGGCAGCAGCAGCAGCAGCAGCAGCAGCAGCAAGACAGCCGCGGAAAACTGCCGCCATTCGTACAAGTGTCAATAGATAAATATTCTCCCGATAGGCCTATCTTGTAGGTAGTTTTTATTCCGTGTGTAACAGTTTTATATAAGGGTGTGAAGAAGATGAGACGTACAACTTACAGGTGTACTGTCAACAACATGCAAACAGGCACGTACGTCAGTAACCGACAACCCATGCAGGGAGGAAGACGTCGCCAGCCTCACAGGAGAGCGATATTGGCATATCCACTCGACGAGGAGGGTAGCAACGATGACGACTTTGATGAGGAAGACATTCCACTCAGTCATTGCATCACCACACCCAAGCACAGGTTTAAGCGGATTCTACGAAACCGCAGCCGTCGGTGTCTCGTGCAGTTGACCCACTGGCCATGGATCCATCTGCAGGTGACATTGAGGCTCAGGAGCCTGATGACGCAATCATCTATACCCCGTCGGAGGCGGAGCGTACAGCCACAAGCTTTGACATGGAACAAGATATCTAGTAGGATACGGGCGGTAAACAGATTCGCAACCGTCCAGGAAAAAGGAGGGTAGACGGGAATAAGTCAGATTCCCCGGTAGAGGAAGTGAAAAAGGGAAGATTAGTGCGCAAGATAAACGTTGTAACGATGGCAGGGTAGCGAGCAGAGCTAACTGCATAGGTCAAGACAGACGTTATAACGACGGCAGTAAAGCGAGCAAGGCTCACTGCACGAGAAGAGAACAACGGCTCTAACGAGGACGCATCTAATTGCGCCTACTGTCATGGTACAGGAGCCACTAGGATACGCCGCAGCAAGGCAAGAGGGAGGAAAACGCCTAAGGAACAGAGTTAAATGACTCTTCGCAAACGCACGGACGAAACGTTGAGAGGTTTTCGTATCTCCCATCCCCACTGTGCCCGTGCCTTCCCGACTCAGTTTTTTTTTCGAGGTGGCTTGAATTTAAAACAAAGCATGAAATTGGTACTGAGCACGCGTGTGAATGTTGTACGCGCATGTTTAACGGGACCGCGAGAGTTGCCACGATGATCATTGTTATGATTATTATTCTGTCGGCCTGGATGTTTGGATTATCTACCCGCGCGTTACTTAAGATAATTAAGGGCTATAGCACGACAGTATACTTAGGAAGTCGATGAAGATTTTACTGATGATATGGATACCAGTAACAGTTTGCGATCCAAACGACGGAAGCTGGAGCCGGCACACGAAGGCACGGATTCTGCGCCAGGAGAAGCCAACCGGCTTAAGCGCAATGAGCATGATAGCGAAGCGGACCCGCCCGAACTACCTGTTGACGTCATAACCACGGTTTCAGACAGCGCACAACCCATTGTGCCGGTAGCCATAGTGCGGGAACCACAGGTAACCATGGTAACCAGGACTCTTGTTGAGCGAGTCAAGAGTTATTTTGCTAACGGGTGGTCGACACATTGAGAAATCTCTCGTATTTTTCTTTCAGATTGACATTGTGCGTTACGGATTATATGCCGATTACAGAGTATATGAGTACAGTAAAAACCCGCGTATAAGAACATAGATTTTAAGAACATGTTAGGCTAAAATTTACCATTTAGACCCCTTTACATAAGAACCTGTTTTAGGCTAAGATTTTAAAGTAGGTTCTTAATTTTCCATGCAGATGAAGACTTAAAAAGAAACACAGGTA